GGATCTGAGCTAGATTCAGTGTGATTCCCAAGCCGGTTCTTTGGGGAACCACATGGCTTTCTAACCAGGGTGGGAGTAGAGAGGTACAGGCAAGAGGGGAGGGAGTCACGCTGAGGCAGGTGCTCTGGACAGAGATAGTGACACAGGAAGAGTGTGATGGGTGAGCCAAAGGTGTGACCCTAGAGTCACCCTAATGAGAGAACCCTGGAACATTTGGACCAACCCAACAGGGCCTAGGCATAAACCCTGTACCTAGCCAGTGGGACAAGTACCAGATGGACAATCTAACCTCGATGCTGATATGTTTCACCTCCACACCACCAGTAAAGGAGATGGTGTCCACGCAGTGGAAGGGCACGAGGTGTGTGTACTTCGTAAACTCCTTTCCATCCACCGTCACCTGTCAACAGAAGGGCATATTTCAGGAGAGGGTCCCAGACCAGGGTGGGAAGTACGCCTGAGCACTAGGACCCCGGCTTCTAGAAATTAATGCCTATCTGGTTTTCACCTCCATCTCCTGTAGGTGGGGCCCAGCCTTCAGAGCTGCTCCAGGTACAGGAACACACATGTGATCCAAAGTGCAGCCAAAACCAGCCACCACTTGGCTCTAGTTTTGGCTTCTGAGTTCTTGTTTATTGCTCTAGGTTTGTCTGTCTCAGCTCACCTGGGATGCCATTTCAATCTGCGCATTTAAATGCCTAAAGTGCTCATGGGAGCAGAGGAGAGGGGACCTCAGGGTGCACATTGAGGCCTGGGAGCATCCCGTTCACACGGAGAAGCACAGACACAGCCATCCCTCTCCCCGGGCCCAGCAGCACTGCTCTGCCTGCAGAGCAATGACCACACCATGCAGCCCTGAGCCACCCCTGGGCCTGCAGAAGGACTGCCACAGCATCACCGAAAACAAATGCTGTCAAGGACCTGGAGTGGACAGGCTGCAGCAGAGGATGGCAGTCACCTGGAACTCGAGGCCAAAGAGCAGGTGGGGACTTACCTAGCTCTTATTTCCTGGTAACAGAAGCAACAGGTGCTCCATAGGTGCAGGTGAGGGTGTGTAAGCTCCTCTTATCTGTATAATGGCATTGCCTGGGTAATTATTTACAGGCCTTTCTCCAGGCCCAGTGGGGCAGGGGGACAGGCAGAAAGAGGGAGGGAGGAGAATTCTGCTCACCTGGAATCCAGAGTTCTCCACCAGGAAGCTGATCTCAAAAGGAATTCCCATCTGGAAGGGATTGAGCAGCAACCTCTCTTCTGGCCCCCACTGTCCTTTCTGCGTGGTGTTACAAGCCACATACCCGCCATCTTCAAACCGAGGGTTGAAGTGGAAGGCAATGTCATTGTCACTGAAGCCCATCTTAAGGTTCACATCAAACCTAGGAGGATGGAAATCAGACAGGGTTCTGGTTTATTGCTAATGGTAGGAGCAGGAGGGCCCGGGGCCTCTGACTTCCATGTATGTCTGGCAACTTGCATACAGCCTGCGTGGCAGGTTGCACCCATCCCACTGTGCTGCCTTCCTTTGTATTTACCTAATTTGCACTTAGTGTGTTTTGTATAATTATTGCATTTTTCCCTTTCCAGTGTGACTTTCCAGAATTAAGCAGGAACTGGGTAAAGAACAATGTGGACTTGAGCCTCAGGAAGCATGGGTCTTGGAAACTGACTTCTCATTTGCATGAAGATGCAAATCCAGGAACATGCCCAGAAGCAAGAGCCTCTCATGCCCGGTGGGCACTGGTTAGAGGCCAGCCCACGGCTGCTCAGTTGGGAAGGAAGAGAACAAATGGAGAGAACATGTGACATTGAGGGACTTTACGGTATCTAACAGGGGAGGCATGGAATGAATATTGGCTCTCCAGGCAGGAGAACTTCCGGTATGTGTGTCTGTCCCTCATCGGTGTTGGTGTGTGTCCCACCCTGACCCCTGCTCATATGTTAGTTATTGGGGTGACCCTGAAACACACTACCTTATGTCAAGGCACCCAGGTCGGGGCTGACTCCCTTCCTTTAGGTTTTATTAATGACTTGTTCGAGAAGCCTCCACAAAAGGAAATTTTAATTCCTGTCTCTCTCCTTGGAAGGAAGCCCTTGCCTTCAAACTTCCTTTAAGTACTAAGGAGAGGAATTAGAACATAAAAACCTCCCAAGAAGGCAGGCTCATGAAAGGGTCTCAATAAATGTTTGTTCTGCCCTTTCCCAGGCACATGTCCTAAAACCAGTCCTAATCCAAGGAGTCACTCTCTACTCCAAGCCTTCCCTGAACTCAGCAGGAGCATGGTTCATAGCCTGCGTCTTGGGGTCATTCTGGTGTCCCCAACTAATGCACAGCTCTCAGGGATGACCCCCACCCGCTTTCATGTCTTCTGCATCCCCCACAGGGCCAGGCTCTGAACCAAGGCCAGAGGTTGGCCCTAGATAGACATTCTATTCAATTCCTGCAGAGCCCCACCCAAATCAGGCAAGAGCCCTACACCTGCCCACCACCTGGGCCTCAGCAGAGGGCAGCCGGGGCTGCTCGAGTATTACAGGGCTCTCCAGCCTCTGGCGAGATGTACAATCTCTTCCCTGTTCCCCAAAGTCCCCTCTTGGGTGGGAAACAGTGCTGAGATGTTTGTATTTTGAAATGACTTAGTATTTTCCAGGAAGGAACTTGAAACAGGAAGAGATCAAATTACATTGGAGCCCTAGCCAGTTTGGCTCAATGGATAAAGCATTGACCTGGAGACTGAAGGCTCCTGGTTTGGGTTCTCATCAAGGGCACATGCCTGGGTTGTGGGCTCAGTCTTCAATAGGGGGCATGCAGGAGGCAGCAGATCAATGATTCTCTCTCATCATTGATGTTTCTTTCTCTCTCTCTTCTCTCCCTTCCCCCTTCTAAAATCAATACAAATATATTTTTTAAAAATTACATTTGATGGCAAATTTAAGTATTTTGAATACAACCAAGATTACTTTACCCAGAAAAGCTATCTTTAAGAATTGAAGATCAGAATAAGAGCTTCACAGACAAGAAAAAGCTAAAGGAGTTCATCACCAACAAACCAGTATTACATGAAATGTTGAAGGGTATTGTTTAAGAAGAGGGGGAAAAAAAGATAAAAATAATATGAACCATGTAATGGCAATAAATACATATCTACCAAAAAAATTGAATCTAAAAATCAAAATAAATGACAATAAGTCTAATGAAGAAAATAAACTGATGAATAAAATAGAATCAAGGCATGGAAACATGGAATGGACTGATGAATCTCAGAGTGGGATCAGGAAGAGATTAGCCAAAGACCTTATATGCATATATGCATTAATTATGGACACAAACAATAGCGTGGTGAAGGCTTGGGCGGGGTGGAAACTGGGTGGAGAGTGGCAATAAAAAGCTTCTGCACAGCAAAAGAAACCATCAACAAAACAACAAGAAAGCCCAATGCATGGGAGAACATATTTGCCAGTGTTATCTCTGATAAGAGTTTAATCTCCAACATTTACAGGGGACTCATACAACTTAATAAAAGGAAGATAAACAATCCAATAAACACATAGATGG